GTAATGAACTTAGAAAAGATTGACTGCAGGCGGACTATCCTATTAAATGTTTGCATTAGTTGAAAAGATTTGTTAAATATATATCTATTCTTGAAAAATGTGTACAATGGCATGCTTCTAACTGTTCTTCTTGCTCAGTAACTGATTATGAAATGGTTTTATTTGCATATTTTGGAAAACTTTCCTGATACATTTTAATTTTAGGTCAGCTCATATTGGGATTACAGACAAGTCTCAGTGAGACTAGAAAAAGTTCGTCAAGATATTAAATTTCCAAAAATAGTTCTTTGTCACAAAAATTAAGTTCACTTAAAAATTCAATACCTTAGCGAAAGAACATTCTTTTCGGCTGAAACTTTCAGGATACTTGACGACAAAGGCCAATGGGAACGAAACCTTTTAGACTTTTTCTAGTTTCACTGAGACTTTCCCATGAATCCAATATGAGCTCAATTGGCTGGTGTCACTTGGAGTAGTTCTCTCATAAGCCTATTTATGCATTTGAACGTTCTACTCAGACTCTTAATTAATCTTCATATAAGTGATTCCTCTCTCCGCTTCTTTTTTTTTTGTTTGTTACTGTCTTTCCATTTTTGTATATGTTTTAGTAGTGTCCGACTGTCATCAGTGATCGTAAAGGATTAAAAAAAAAATAATTACCTATCATTTGTGACAATATATGTCGAAGAAATATATATTTCCTAATAACAAAACTCAAGTTCAAATAACTATAAAAAAGCAAAATAACGCAAACAAGAACAAGAAAAAAAACATGTGTAATAGATTCGATCAAAAAGGTTTTGAATTATCATTGATTTGATTATTCATCATTTGTAATGGTTGTTGTGATTGTGCTTCAGCTTGTTCATGCATATCCATCATTTTTTTTGCTTGTATGTCTGCAAAATTCATTGCCATTCGTTGATTATAATTAACATATTTTGATGTACAATGAGTTATACAATCAATCTAAATGCAAAAGAAAGAGATTATTATCGATAATTGAAATATATATTTCTTTTTACTACTATTAATACAAGTGAAAAGTCATTTATTGCACCAATTAGAATAAGTGATTTTTTTGTGAGAAAACAAAAATTCATTTTAAATATAATTTTTTAAACCTACCTCATCATCAACTAAATATCGATAGTTGAATGTATAAATACATCGATGAAAACATTCTTCAACAATTCGATTGTATGTTTCAAGAAATTCACGAAACTATTATAATAGTATTAAGATCAATTTAAAGAAATACTAAAGAATTTCATTATATATAACTTACAATCTGTTCTTGAGAGGACATGTATTCTTTTAATATATCTAGATTTTTGGAAATAAATTAATAAATAAATATATTCATCATAATTATTTTTCTTTTAAAACATTATAATTTTGATATTTAAAAAAAAAAACAAAAATTTCAACAGAAAAAATTTTTTGAAAACAAAACAAATATAAAAGAATAAATATAATTAACTATTGCGTTCTATTCTTTATCGGAAATTTTTAAAGTTATCAAACGACTCGTTGTATATTGATTAGAAAAAATACAAGATGTAGATCCATTTGCTTGAATATGAGACAAACGACCAGCATTTGATATTATATTCCAACCAAGTGTTAATGTTACATTATTCGATCTATTTAAAAAGAAAGAAGATGTCAAATTTTAACAATGAAAAACTTAAATAAACAAACCATAGATGTTCTTCATCATCTCAAAAGTTATATTTTGTTGCCATATCATGCATATTAATACGTGCATTATCACCACGTTGAATTATTTTATCCCATAGAACTACTTGATTAAGACTCTAAATTAATTATAACAGACTTTAGTATACAACTCGAATGAACGAATATTTTTTTTCCAAAAAGAAAAACAACTTTTTTATTATCCGACTACAATGAATAATATTTCTGGTCTTTTTGGTTTTAATCATTTGTGTTTTGAATGATTGTCTATATGAAAAAACAAATCTTGTATAAAGAATAAGAAAATTAGTTTTCTATTTAGTATCTTTCGTTTTTGGCAAGGAGAAACAATCTGATTTCTATGCTAGAAATCACTTTGTTCCCTTCTTGATTTCTAGTAAAGAAACATTTTCTATTTAAAAACATGACTTGTTTTTCTATTGAAATCAAACGTGAGTATAGGACAAATTTTTGTCAGTTGTGCATGTTGTGCTATTCTGACTTGCCTTGTGCAACAAGACAGATAAGGTTTTTTCTTGTTGATTTTTTAGAAATTATTAACGAATCAATTTTTGGTTTACATCTATTAATTCTTAAGCTTAGATATTCATCGAGTTAGTTTAATTTTATTTTTCATCAAACTTGTAATCATTACTGTCATTCAACTATACTCCTCTACTTTTGTTTAAATATCGAAAATGTCTTATCCGGTTCCATTAAATAGATTAGTCATAAACTTTTAATCAACAATTCATTTATTTCATTATAAAGTTGATAAGACTCTGCAACGAATTAATATGTCTTGTTCTGTTGTGCAGCAGATATAAGAAAAATTTTAGTCCTATTATATCCTTTGCATAACTCTGATTCGAATATTTTTTAAAATTCTAAATGAAATTTATACTCACATTTACTCGTGTAATCTATTCTGCAATTAAATATAAAAATAATTCTTTAATATTCCAATCAAATAATGAATTAAGATCTAAAATTTTTCGTAAAAACAAAATTTAATTTTCATTTTATTTAATAAACAACTACACATATCTAAATCAAGTTGTAATATACCTAAATCATTTTTCTTTCGATTAACCAAAAACTCAATCATATGTTTTCTACATTTAAGAAAAAGAAAAAACAAAAAAAGAACAGAAGCAATTCATTTTTATAATAAAATAAATAATTCTTCTATTTACACAATAGGCTTATTTGCAGTAGTTCTAAGAGTTTCATGATATTGTTTAAAATATGTTGAAAGAAATACACCAATTGTAAGCACAGCAAAAACAATTACTGTAAAAGCAAATAGATTATTTAATCGATTTATGAATGTATGCATTAGATGTTTATCTACAAACATAAGTGTTGTCCGCTTTTGTTTAGTTTTACATAATAAACACACCGAGAGGAAGTATAACAGAAGAAAAAAAAATATATAAGACTAGTACAAAAATGAGAACGAGAAGTTATAAGAAAAAAAAAATTATAAATCGAAATGGAGTGTTTAATAGAGTATGAAATATATACGTATAAAAATATATGTTAGTATCCAAATTGAGATTACATCGAATGAAGTGGAAAATTTATGTTAAAAATTGAATTAGTCTGTAGATCAAGGTTAGAGTTGAATTCTAATTGATTCGTTCAGATAAAACAATGACATTTCAGATAATACAATCATTAATTGATTAAGTAAGTTTAAATTCGTAAATTTAATGCAAGATATTATACGCAAGAACAGTTTCAAAGGAAAAATTATCCATCATAACTTTTCGAATCTTTACTCAATTTATTCATTGATAATTGTATTACTTGAAATATCATTGTTTCATAAGAATGAATTGATAAGATTCCGTATTCGATATCAATCTACAGACAAATTCAACTTTTAATATAAATTTTTTTTCCGTCAATTCGACATTGAACGTATCCAATTTCGAATACAAGATTGAATGTAATTTCAATTTCAGAATGCTAACATATATGTTGTCAATTATTTTGAGAAATTAACTATCTTTTATTAGTTGCTAAGAGTTCATCACAAATATTTGTCAATTCAGTATTTTCTTTTTTCTAAACAAAAAAATAAAAATAAAAAAAATAAATATTTTTCTTTATGTAGAAAACTTTTATTTTTACCTTCTGTTCTAATTCTTGTTTAACAGATTTTAATTCTTGTTCAAGTGATTGTACACGTAATTGTGCATAACGTAATTGTGTTTGTATTCCTTCGATTTCTGATACATGTGTTTGTCTTAATCGTTCAATTTCATTATTAGCTCTACAGCGAAATTTAAGAACAATGAAATAGTTTGTCTTTGTTTTAATTAATTTATGTATATATATACTCATTTAATTTTTCTTGTGCATGTTGCTTAAGTACCGCATATTTTTGTTTTTGTTCTTCTGTATAACGAACAGATTCTTCTGAAAAACGTTTTAATGTTTCTGTATTCTAAAAATAAGAAATTTTGTTTTTTAATTTAAAAACAAATAAAAATTAAAGTTTATTTTTTATTTATTTTTACAAACCGTTTTATGTTCATTGATAATTAATTTAAGTTTTTCATTTCGTTTTTTAACATCGGCATAAGCATTTTCAGCATTGATCAAATCTTCACTCATTTGATCACGTTCACTTTTAACATGTCGTAATTCTTGTTTTAATTCTTCTGTACATTCACATACACGATAAAGTATTCGATAATATTGTTCAACACATTCACTAAATGGACGTAAAAGATGTTCATCAATTTGATTAGTTTTAGAATTTTTTTGTTCGCGTTTTGCTGAAGAAAAATGTTCTGTTAATTCTTGAGCATTAATTGTTGGTTCTGTATGCTCGATTAATGAACGAAATAATGAAGATTTTTCCATTGGATTATCATTAGACATAATAAGACTTTTTATCATATCTGTTTCTGCTGTTGGTTGAAAAATTTTTTTTTCAGCATTCATAAAATCAGTTAACGACCTTGTATTAATATCTTTTATTCGATATTCATCATCTTCATGAAATGATGATGTTGTTGATGAAACACTCGGTAATAACGATAATTTTTGTCGTAAATTTAGAGGATCGTCATCAACATCAGACGATGTCGACATGATGTATTATGAATGGAGAGAAAAAAAATGTGGAGGACTACTATCGCAAGCAATAATGATGTGCCAACGTATGGGCATTGAGAACAGAAAAAAAAAAAAAAAACTTTGTTTTTTTCTTCTCTCGAGGACGCATCGATTGGTAAAAAAAAAGCACAGAAGAACAAGAGCAACAATAGGCGACACTCTGACTCTTACATGATTCGTGTGGGATCCATAAGTGGTTGTTGTGAAGATGAAGTTGCTGTAGTTGGTCGAGAAGTTACAGTAGCACCATGTGATATGGACGAAAAGTTGGGTGGAGATTTTTTATTAGATAAATCTGGTGGGACATCTTCGACAGCCTATAAAAATTAATATTTAATCTTTTAAAAATCTTCTGTAATAAATAAAGGCATACTACATTGAAACTATTATCGGTGGTCATTGTTGATATTTTTCGTCTTTCTTTCTTCTTTAAAACATATGTGTTTGTATCGAATGTTTTATCGGTAGAAGATGTTTGTATTGAAGGTTCTTAGAACAAAAGAAAAGAAAAAAGGAATATAAAGTTTGTTTAATGAGAGAATAGCTTTTTAATAGAATACCTTGTTCTTCTAATGTCTTATTAACATTCAATTTCATATTTTTTGTCAATGCCGTTACCGTTTCAATAGAATTTGATGGTGAAGGTTGAACATTTTCTTGTGGTTGTGGTATTTCATATGGATATTCAACTGTAGAAATTAATTGATAGATAAAAAGTAATTTATTTTTTTATTGTTTATTTTTACATACGAGAGAATTGATTCGATAAAGGTGATTTGGCACTTGTAGGTGTATCGATATCACTAACTATTGTAATCAAATTCAAATCTTCTAGATATGAATAAAATTATTGTAAGAGAAAAAAAATAAAATGAAATCGTACCGGGAGGTTTTTCACTAAATTCATCATTATAAATTGGTAATTCGACTGTTGTATCAAGTATATTGGTATTTAGAGCCTACAAAAACCAAAAAAAGAATCACTAAACAAATATTCTACAAATTCGTTTTCAATATCAATTACAATGAATTTTTTCTCTTTCATATGATTAAAAAACAAAAAAACAATAAAATCACTTACACTATTATCTGATATTGAATCGGCTGCAGAAATATCATCATCTTTAGTTTGTGGTAAAATATCAAATGATTTATTTAATTCGGGATTTCTAGAAAAATAATTTAAATTAAATCTACTTATTGTTTGAACATTATTTTGTTTTTTTTTTTACCCTGGACGTAAAACATCCTCATTATCTTGTTCATTATGATTTTCATTCTCAATTGTATGTAACGTTGGTGATATATCTCCATTGATTTTTGTTGAAGCTGATTTTAGAATTTCATCATCAACATCAATGTCCATTGGAATATTATTTTGATTCAATATAAATGAACTATTATTTTCATCATGAACATCTAATGATGCTGACTGAAATTCAATTGTATTTTCATCTGTCATTGTCTATAAAATAATTATAAAAACAAAAAAAACTAAAAAGATTAAAGAGAGCAAGAGATACACTCATATGCTTGACTTTGTTTTTTTTTTCATGTTCTTGTTTAAAAACCAGTTTCAGTTTTTTTTTTGTTTTCAATGCTGATTATAATATAAAAAAAAGTGAAACGAAACAAAAAAAAAAGAGAGAGAGAGAGAGACTGACAGAGAAAACATGCATACGCTCGAGATATAATAATAGCAACAGAAATCATAATGTGACAATACACACACAAAAAAAAAAACAAACATAGAATCACACATGTGATACAAGAGGGACCATTATGATATCGTCACCAGAAAAAGAAAATAAAACAATAACAACAAACAAACAATCGCACATCAGAAATAAAAAAAGCGTTATGTGTATATGCGTGGACTTTCTTTTAAATAATGAAAAGAGAATTCACAAAGACAAAGACTCGTTTGTTTCTAGGTTTTTTTTTTGTTTACAGATCAAGGATAGATAAATGAATGAATGAATGAATGCTTGTTAAGCTCCCTAATCATATATGTTAGGTTCAATTAAATGAAAAAAAGCACAGAAGGAGAAGGGAAGCATTTACAAAGAGTAAATAAATAAGCACGAACCTGTGAATGCTTTAGCAAGAGAAACAGATAACAAATAAGGTGAATACTATACGAAAGAAAGAGAGAGAGAGAGAGCGAGGGCAAGAAAACAACGGACACATTCAAGCGAAAGAACAATGAATAAGTATTAACAGAGAAAAAGACGTACTTGTTTGTTTGTTTGTTTTTCGTCTCGAAAGAAACAATCAAATAAAAAATAGAAGAAGAATAAGATATAAGATCCTCACTGTAAACATATGCGTAGGCGATACAATATTACTATCCGAATGTTAACAATTAATTGCTTATACTTTTTTTTTTCTCTCTCTCTCTCTCATTCTTTTTTGATATTTATATATATATGCAAATTTAATCAACATTGACCATAGAATTATTTTCTTGTTTTTCTTCTTCACTTGTCAATTGTTGTTCATCATATTTACTACTTATTAAACTTTCTGTACTTGTACTACGTTCACGTTCATCATCTTTTGTAACTAGCATTATAGGTGCATCAGCAATACAACATCGTCGAATTTCTTGTGTTGATAATGATATATCTTGATGTTGTTGTTGTTGTTGTTGTTGTTGATTATCATCCATTGATGTTGTTGTTGAATCAATAATACTTGTATCATTTGAATCTTTACTTGGTGTTGATGAAGAATTTATTGTTGTATCAATATTTGTATGATTAGTATTATTAATATTTCCATTTTCGATACGTCTACTTGTCTGTTGAAAAGATGATAAACCATTTGTATGATAATGATTATTTGAACGTGAAATAGATGTTAATGTTGGTGGACACATATATAATGTACCGGCAGAATTAAATGGAAATGGTGGAGCTTCTGGCATCATTATACATTCATCCATTGTTGGAGAATAGTAATGCGTACGTGAAGGAAAACAAACATTAGTCGCAAGAATATTTAAATCATGTGGTGATGCAGTTATTGGTGGAGCATATTGATACTATAAAACGAGAAGAAGATCATTGATAATTTATTTTGTTTTTAATTATGAATTTTCATCTAAGTATAATTCTATACTAGATTATACTATTCAACTAATTTTCTCGTATATCTATAATGTAGAAATTGCATTTTATGACTTAAATACTATTTCATCATTCGTATGATTTTTCTACCCGATGATTAATGAGGCAAAATGATTTTTATAAATCGAATGGAAAATATTTATTTCATAAGTATCACTTCGAATGTTTCTGTGTTAATCACATCCTATGTTGCACGTTTGTTTGCACTACTGCCAGTAGCACTTATAACTTTCGCTTCCAACTGTAAACGATTTTAGAAAATTTTTTCTATCTAAATTCAAATTAACCGAGAAGAAAATAGTTTCAGAATATATTTTACTAATAAATATTTTTTGTAGCGGCATCTATAATAAAAACTTATCTCATAACTGAAGCGGATTTAGGCTCTATAGCTAGTACAAGCGGTTCAGGCGCGTCAATAACATTAGGGTACATCGAAAACGATTCGACTCCGTCGGTTTTAACAAACTTTCAAAAATATCCATCGGTTTTGATACTTTCAAAAAAGATCGCCAATATAAATCACACTGTAATGATCGATATACTGACTGTAGTGATCACATGAAACGATACTTGTCGTATGTAGACTTCAATCTATTGCGTTATAACTAAACCTTAAATCATCAAGGATGAGACGATCAAGAAGAGTTTTCTTTTTGTTTTATAATGTTCTTTTAACCTGTGGATAAGGAATAAAAGAATGAAACTCTAAAACTCACATATTGTTGATCACGTGGTATTATTTTCAATTCACTAAAGTGTAATTTATCGTAATTATTATAATCACGAAATAAAACAACACAATAAGGAGGTTGAATATGAACAATAGTAGCGACATAATACTATTAGAAAATAAATAAATAATTATTATTTTTATAATCATAATTTTTAAAATATACTTCTTGATCTTCACTCCATCGAGCTAAACAAATATCACCTATTCTCCAACGTATTCGTAAATTCTATAAAAAGAAATTAAAATTCAATAAAAAAAAATTCTTTTTGTTTTTTTGAAACATACTGGATTTACAACTCGACGTTTATCTTCATGTTGTTCAGCAATAACTTGTTGAGAATTATTATTTTCATCATTTGATGATGATGACGATGACGATGATGATGATGATGATGATGAAATTGCTTTTTGTTCGATTGACGAAGATTGAGATTTATTTTCATTATTATTATTATTTTCATCTTGTTGAGATTCATTTGTTGGTTTTATTTCATTTTCATCAACGAATGAGTTTGTTTGTAAAACAGATGAACTATTATTAGAAGTTTTTGAATCATCATTTAAACCATTCGTAGTGACTGTTGATGGAAGATAAGTTGGAGTTACATACGAAGTTCTATAACAAAATGTTAAATGATCATTTGTATATCCAGGACCCATTGATGATTGTTGACTATGAAATGGAGGACTTGAAATACCAGCAAGACTATATGTTAAATGACCCTAATTGAAAAACAGATATCAAAATATAAAAAGAATAATTTGAATTTTTTTTTTCTTTAGATTTTAATACCGGATTAGCTGGAAAATAAGCAAGATGAGCTGGAGTTGAGCCAATTGCAGGTGCAAGTATATTCCCATGTGGTGCATAGGAATTGAGCGTAGTTGTATGTGGTTGACCAGTAGATGAATTATGAGGAATATAGGACATCGGATCTCCACGTCGTGAATATGATGATGAGGAAGACAATGAATTATTATTTATTGTGCTATTACGATAATTACCATTTATTTCACTTCCATTTAATGATGTTGATTCATCATAATAACGATTTGTATTCCGACGAGTACGTTCTTCTTGAGCACGTTGAAGTCTAATATAAAACAATTAAATAGAAATGAATAAATGTATGCGAATTATTAATGCTTAACTTTATGAATACAAAGAAAAAAGGAGAGGAAACAATACTTTTAATTATGAAATTTGATGATAAGCATTTATATCAATTTTGATATAATGATGGATTTGATTTTCTTTTTCTTTTTTTGTCTAAGAGAATGGTTTTTTTCAGATTAATAATTCGAGAATGATAATTTGCAATTTAAAGTAAAACATTGAATAAAAGTTGTTAGCACAAACTATGCTGGATTAAAATGGACAACACAATGGATCTATGTCCTTTATAAACCAAAGAATTCTCCAAACAAAGACTTTCAACATACTGATATGTCCATGATGAAAGATATTATCTGTCATACGTTACAGTGAGTTTGCAAAGGAGACCAAAGGCAAGCATGTTAAATTTAATCTTCTATCAAAATAATCTCACAGAAGACTTAAGCTTCATAGCTTACGAGAAAATTCATCCGATTGATAAACTCCGTTTGAGCTCATATATAGGACTCATAATGTAGATAAAAATTCTAAAAAGGTTCATGTCATTAGGCCTTTCTTCTCGAGTCATAGTTATTTTACTGAGTTTTCAGTCTATTGCAGGATATCACGAGAAAAATCTCAACAAGGAGTTTCGGTCTGAAGTTTTCATCAACAATAACTCTCATGACCTGTGTGATATTCTGAAAGTTTCAGCTGAAACGTATAATTTCTTCTTAAGAATATTGTATGTAGAAAACCTAGGCTATTTTTGGAGTTTTCATATGACAGTAACATTTCTGGCAAACGTTTTATCTCAGAGGGAAAACATCCGTTCGAGTTGAAACTTTCAGGATATCATAAGGGTCATGACAACTATTATTAAGAAGAATTTCAGACTGAAACTCCTTGTTCAGATTTTTCTCATGATGTCCTGCTTAAGATTCTCGATTGGGGAGGAGGGGAGGGAGGGGCTTGGTCCCTCTCCCCCCCCCCCCCCCCCCCCCCCCAAAACTTCAGACTTTCTGCCACAATTTTTTATAACACTTTCTGCGACAACTTTAGAGTTCAGTTCAGCAGAAAGCTTTTGCATTTGCTGGAATAAAATTAAACCAAAGATGGTGCTTTCTGCCAAATTTCTCGCAGAAAGTCAATGTTATTTCTGGCAAACCTCTCGCAAAACAAAGACTTTTTTTGCAAAAATATTGACTTTCTGCGAAAAAATTATAGACTTTCTGACAAATTTTTAGCTCCCCGCTCCCAAAAACAATCGGGAACCCTCGTCCTGCTATGAATTAAAAATTCAGTAAAATGACCATGATTCGAGAAATAAAAGGACTAATGATACGAACTCTCAGGATTTTTATCTACATAATGAATCCTACTTATGAGCATAAACGAAGATTATCAGTCGAATGGATTCCTTCGTTAATCTATTACAGACTATGATGAAGAAGGAGCGTTGCTAAGGTAAAGCTGTAAATTTCCACATCTATACTTCAACATTTCTTTTCGATCATGTTTCATAAAATCTCCTGATTATCGTATATTGTTTTGACAATATTTTTTTTTAATTTGACATACATTTTAGATTTACATTCATAAATGCAGCTTAGATGGTTATTATCCTTTTAAATTTCATTGGAATGACATGCAACTATAATGTAATATTTTCACTATTTTATGAAAATGGTTATTTCTAATATGAAAATCAGAGATTATTCTTTGCTATTGTGCTCTAGATGTTTATCTTATGTTTAACTCTTTTTGATATTCTGGTGGTAGCATTAAATATTTCTATTTTTTTTCCGGTTGTCTATAGAAAAAAACTTTTTGCATAACTCATTTCAACAACATGTTATTTTTTTGTTGAGATCATGAATATGACATGTTATGCAGAAACAAATCTTCCTTCATGCATATTTCTTTTTCGCATTAATTATTAATATTCTATATATCAACACCAATATTTTTTTTTCTTCTCTCGATGCTTTATAAATAGATACAAACCTAGGGGGTAAAGGATTTCTTCTTTCACGATAATTTGAATGAGATGAATCATCTTCTGTATCTAATTGATCGTGAATTTCATCTTGTTGCAATGTTATTTGATCTGTATGATTATTATTCGATTGATAATGTTGATTTGAATTACTCGTTGTTAGTGAATTCGTTGTATTAATACTATTTGTAGGTTTATTTGTTTGATAATATTGTTCAGTATTTCGACGTTTAGTTTCATGTCGATCTTTTAATTTTTGATTATCATTATCTATTGTTTGTTTAATATCATTTGAGATTTTAATTGAAGTCATAAAATCCATTAAAGTATTTTTTGGTGGTGGTCCTTTAAGAAAATTCGATGGATTATCATCGTTATCATATCGATTATTACTATTACCAGCGCCACCACCTTTTAACAAAAATGTATACATAACCTATGGAAGAACAAAATAGAAGACTTACGTCGCCCTTCATATGAAGGTCGATAGGATCCACCTCCACGTCCCTGAAATAATAAAATAGAATGTTATGTCGTTTTACTTATGAATTTAAATATCATCCTTTTCAATTTATGTCTCGACGACAGGAAAAGAAAGAAGTCTATCTATGTATCATTTGTTTTTCATTTTATGTAATAATACATTTATCTTTTCTCTGTAAAGATTATTTACTCGATAAGCAGATCGTGGTCGAGGATATGTATTACTTCCATATTGAAAACGTGTATTGTCATGTGTCAATTGTAATAAACCATCTTTGATTGAAATTAAATCGGTTAATAATAATTTACAACCGGGTCTTGTATTTAAACTAAAAGAATTGAATAAAAAGGAAAAAAAAAATAATTTTTTCTTTGTTTAAATCATTTTATATACCTTAAGTTAGGAATATAATCATTTGTAATACCTTTTACAGTTGTAATTCCATCGGTAATAGTTAAGAGTAAAGAATAATTATTATTTGTTTGTTCTAATTGATTATTATTATTGAATTTTGCTATCGATTCAATAGAATCGATTTGCACGAAAAATATGCCTTTGATCTATTTGAAATAAAATTTTTCAAACAAACAGAAAAACAAAAATAGTCAATGATAGAAATGTAGTTCTTTCTGTTGCTTACAACTAGAATCAAAAGAATTATGAAGAAGTTTTTCTTTTTTGAATTCTTTAATGAAAGCAAATACTAAACTATAAAAGTTTGTATCTAAGAAATACATTCTTCCTATCAATATCTACGTGTATCCAAAGTCCACGTGACAGTAGCCATATAAACACTCCCTCAAACTTGTGTCCTTGAACAACTGCACCGGCTAACCTTAGAAAAATCTATGTCATACTGACTGTTCTAGTTTTACAGTGAAAAAATGAAAACGCACACTTTTTAATCAAAGTATTTAACTGGTTCTTTCGTAATGCTAATTTTTTATGGTATTCTTTAAGCAAGTATTCTCCAGCATGAAAAAGCGTTCCACATTCTTTTCAATATGATATCATATCGAAAAGTGGAACACTTTTTCACGATAAAGAACACTAGCTTTAATGTTACTATCCATTTCCTATAGAACATCTACTTAAAGAATATCATTTTTAATTAATATAACATGATAAGTGAATATAACAATGTACATAAATTATAAAATAACTGTATTGAGTAAACTCTTTCCTTATAAGCATCTTGATATTCACTTACTGAAGATTTTGTTATTTGACCATCGGCTAATCCAACTAAATCATCAGGGAAAGGTTTACAAGATGGTGATCGATGAAAATCAACCTCAAATTTAAAAAAAAAAAGATTATTAAGAAAACTGAATTTTTTCTTCGTTAAAAAATTATTGGAATTTACTTCTTGATAATCTTTAATATATTGAAATGTTCGTTCATTATCATGTGAACCGGCAGAAACACCATTATTAACAGGTGTTGATAAATCTTCTTTATCTGCTATCACAGTTACCATATTTAATAATTAAACAAAAAAAAAGAAGGTAGAAGATAATTCGTCAAGATGATATAAATCACTTCAACAATGCCAGAATAATTAATCTAGTTATTTTTATTTAAATGAATAAAATAACTTAAAAAGAAAAACAACAAAAAATAGAATAGATATGATGATTCATCAAGTAATAATAATTTCTTGTTTTTTCATATTCGTCAATAAAATGACAAAAGAAAAAAAAAGACGATTGGTATAAGAGTACATGTGTTCTTCTTATTAATGTAGAATTATATAATTATTTTCGTTTTATTAGTTTCTTTCTTTTTTTTTTTCTTATTTTTTTCGTCTCTTACTATAAATATCTATGCGCGTTTTCTTGCCGTTATGCTGTTGTTGTCTCCAACTAACAATAGTAAGCATTGATCCATAGAATATCTCTTCGTCATTAGTAACACCAATCATGATAAAAAGAAATAAAATGTCGCTTGAAAAAAAAAAGTAAAAACTTAAATCTTTTTACTAATATAACTTTAACTTTTAATAAAATTTGAAAATAAAAAAAAATTGCTTTTAGAAATACTTCTTAGAGAATTATTTTAATATTTCATTCAGTAAGATGAATTAATTTTTGGAGTACAATTTTCTATGATTTACTATATTTCGAGAACATTTTTATTCTCTCGTTTTTTTTTCTTTCTATTGTGTCGTTTTTTCTTCCTTTTGTTATTTAATATAATACAGATAAAATATTAAATGATTTTTTTTAAAATTAAAAATGAAATTTAAATAATTTCTTTATTTATAATAAAAGGTAAAATATTTGTATTTTATTTTATTTTTTTGTTTTGAATAATTATATTTAGATTTAGAACAGATGGGCGATTTACAGGCCGAAATTGAATTAACAGTTGAATTAAGAAAATTTTTTAATATTGATTTATTTGTTCAAGGGTAATTTGTTGGAAATTATATTTTTTTTAATAAAAAAGACAAAACTATTCTTTTAGTTATTATCAAATTCGTGCTGGAATAAAAGTTGCGCCGAAGATTCAATCGGCAACTAAAATTGAAGTTAAATCTGAATTTCCTTTTACTATTGGTATGAAATAAAAATAAACTAACAAAAGATGTATAATTTTCTTTTGTTTTTCTCTTAGATGATTCAAATGAACCAATTTATCCTGCATGTATATTTAATGATTGGGGTGTTAGTAAAACATTTTTAGTTATATATAAAAGTGAAGAAGTCGAACTTGATGATCAATTTAATTTTAAACTTTCAGTTATTGTTGATGCTCAACATGTATGAAAAGAAGAAAAATAAAAAATTTATTTAAATTTTGATTTCATGAAAAAAAAAAATTTTTTTTTTTTGCTTGTATTTATTTAGATTACGGATTGTTTTAATCGAATGGATATGCAACTTTGTCTTGAACTTTTTTTTATGGAAAAAGATTACTCGTATGTATTTTGACAAACTATGGATTAACTTTTCTATTGATGTTTGTTATAAGCTGTTAGTAAAGAATATTTTATCAACTAAAATGCTTCTATTATGAAACTAAGCTATTTCTAGTGGATGATTATTGTTTGTTTTTTTGTTTCATTATATAAAATCTTATATCAAACTGAGCTTTTCTCTATCTTTAATCGGATTTAGTTATTAAATAGTAAAGCTATTACCTAATATTTTTGATCTACATATGAAAAATTCTATTTTATAATAACAATAAAAAAATATATTTAGACCGGAAAAAATTGGAACAATGCAATCATTATGTAGTCGATGTTATAAACTTCATTTTAATCCCCGTTTGGGAGTTCATACTCATATGCCAATACTTTTTGATTATTTTCATTTATCTGCAATAACAACAACTATTCATGGTTCATTACTTTGTCTTATTCCACCTTATGTATTTGATCGGTATTAAAGAACTGTTTGGTTTTTTTTTTCTTTTTAATTTTTGATTTGAAAATCTTAGACCAAATGTACATCGAACTTCATTATTCAGTTTTCTCTTTGGTCAAGATTTATCACAAGTATATTATTTTAAATATTTCTATATTTTATTATCTATTATTTTATTTTACTTTAGGTTACAACTGATCAATTGCATCCAAGTTTACTTGAACGAGCTTATCATCTACATAATAATATATGTGAAATACTTCTTTCATCTTATGAATCTTTACAAGATTTTTATGAAAAAATGATTCAACATTTACCAGCAAATGAACAAAAACCAATACATCGTAAATTGTCTTTGTTTTTTATTTATTAAAAAGAAAAAAAAAATTTTTTTTCCTTTCTCATCATAGATCATCAAAATTGTCGTCAACGATTAAAAGAACTTTGTCAAAAATTAAAAGTATTTATCAATATATTAATTAAAAAAGAAAAAAAAAGTTCATAATAATGTTTTTTTGTTTAATAAAAGACTGTAGATGATGTTCATTCAATAGACGATTTAGCACATGCACATATTGCTCAATGTTCAGCAGAAAATATAATGCTTTGGTGTCAATTTATTCAAATATTTGGTTTACATGAAATAACGGCAATTGTTCTTGCGAAAGACTATCATTTCAAACGAGTAAGAAAAAAAAACAGGAAAAAAAACTGTTTATTTATTAGTTATTTCGCAATAATCTTGTGTAATAACATTCCTTTTTATAGGTAAAACGTCTTTCAGAATGTTTCTTTCTTCGTGAAACATCACGAATCAATCTTCTCATCAATGAGTATGAACATTGGAATTACTTTGTTTTAACTTTATCTAAATAAAAATTTTTTTCTTTTTATGATTTAGAAGTGACATATATAATGATTTACATGAACTTGTTAGAAATTCTTTATATTATTCACGTTTACCACATTTACCAATTGAATGTGTTGAACTTGATGGTACACCAGATACTTTACCAATTCTTGTCGAAGAAATTTATACACCTACTGAACAACAGTCAACAACAGCAATTTTATCATCATTAAATTCAAAGACTAACAATGATAATTCTGTTTTACAAAGAGTTCAAAATCTTAGTAAGAATCTATCTAATGATATAGAATCTTGTATGTAGTTCTCAAAGAATGTACTTCTATGGTTATGATAGATACATTTATATTGGGATATTTTAGTTTAAAACTTTGATTGTGACTGATACATTTTAATTTTCTTCATGAGTTAAATAATAGGATGGATTTTTTTTTCAAAAAATAAAGGTGTCAATAGGACTTTTTTTTTATATTGTTTCTTTTTTCCTAGATAAACTCCAGCCAAATCTCAGTCATAGTTTTAGTGGAAAATTAAATGAAACAACGTCCAATTCTGTTTCAAATAGTCCATCAACATCACATTCAAAATCTCAGAAACAACAACAACAACAACAACAACAAACGAAAGCATCACCAACTAAGAATAATTCAAATAATACAAATGCAACACCAACTCGTCATCAATCTGCTAAAAGCTTTTCATTATTTCGAAATCATACATTAAAACATACTAATCCCGTAGTCGCATTACCTAATGAGCCATTTGTAAAATTAACTTCAATTCGTAAAGTTGATCAAGATAATATACAATCATCACCAACACTTAAATCTCATATTAATCCATCATTTGGTCTATTTCCTAATCAATCTGATTCAGATATAAATAATAGTCATTATAATAAATTCAATTCTTCATATTTATCGACACCAACAAGTCATCATTCATTACCTAATGTTTCATTCAAACGAAGTAATAGTGCATCAACAACAAATTCAAATCTAATTGATTCACCAATTGTTCCAAATTTTTTATGTGGAACATCAGATAAAATAAATGATGAAGTTTTTCTAACAAATAATCAAAATAATATTGTTGCTGCATCAACATTTGATGATTCAAGTATGAAATCAAAAGTTTTACGAGCATCATATCGTGGTAAAGCTCATACAATGGATAGACCAATAAAAAAACCAACAACATTACGTTCATTATCAACATCAGAAACACATAATAATACTAAACAACATTCAACAAATATACAAAAAAAATATTTTATTACAAACAGTGATGATAAAATATCAACAACAAATCGACCAGTGAATTATTCACTTGATTCTGTTCTTAATTTTACTTTAGAATTAGAACAAAGATCAACAGATGATATTCAACGTCGACATACAACATCAACAAATGATATTGATCCATTATTATTAAATGGTTTAACTGATGATGAAAATCAATTAAATTTAATAGAAAAAACAAATGAATATAATTCTTCTATGAATATTATTGATGATGATAATAATGATCAATCAATTAATTTAGAAAATAATCAACAGGAAAATTCATTAGAATATGATCGATTACAAAATAATTCGATTAATAGTCAAACTATTGAGTATGTTATTTCAGTCTATTTTTTCTTTCATTTTCGAACCATCAGAAATATAATCGTTTTTTTTTTTTAATTTCTTCAATGAGAAATTCATCTGTCATTTAACTAATAGAAGAAATGAATAATTCTCTTACCATCACAACAAAAATTATTTCTTATTTTTATCGAGTTATTCATATATTTGTATTATCGTCTACAGATAAAAAAATAATATTGATCAATTCGTCAATAGTGTAGTTTATGACTTTGTCACTTTTGTTTTATAGCAGTCTAACTTTGTAATCATTTTGAAGTGCATAAAATCCTCTAAATTTTATATAGTTCATAATTTTACTCATTCTTTTTCATTTAATCAATTATTCGAGATTTTGTTTTTATCTGTATATTTTAATTGAAAATTTTCTTGAAAAAAACCGAGGCCAGCAAGTCGATAGATTGTCAATCGGTTGAGTCAATTAATGTAACTATTGTGTCGGTTTTTTTTTTGTATGTAATATGACGATGAATGACATATCAAAACTAACTTGAAACTTCAAAAAAAATCTATATTCAATTTTGTTTCCTTGAGCAAAATAGGTTTAAAAGCAAATAGCTAAGATCTTTAAAGAAAATTTCTTCTCATTAATCTTACCTAACAACAAGGATTTCTGTAGAAATCTTAATCCTATTAATTATAAAAAGAAAAATATCAAATCATTTTTCATATTATTTAGATTTGTTGTTCACAAAGAAAAATTAAAACAAATATTATCATCAAAATATTCATCAAATTTAATGTTTTTTTCTGATTTTTCAACACCAATATCAATGAATCCATATTTTTCTCCAGATATAATACCATTTAATACAAATGGTACTCATCTTATAATATGTGTACATGGTTTAGATGGTAATTCTGGTGATTTACGTTTAATAAAAACCTATCTTGAATTATGTTTACCATCATGTCAATTAGATTTTCTTATGTCATCATCAAATCATTCATCAACATTTGATGATATTGATGTTATGGTTAAACAACTTATTGAAGAAATTCATATACATATTGAACGTTATGGATTAAAACCACAACGTATTAGTTTTATTGGTCATTCATTGGGAAATTTAATAATACGTGCTGCTGTTAGTCATCAACGTTTTGAACCATATAGACCATTACTTTATACATATCTTTCTTTATCTGGACCACATTTAGGAACATTATTTAATACAAGTGGTTTAGTTAATATAGGTCTATTTAAATAAAAATTTTAAATTTCAAGAAAAAAAAAAACCGAAAATTATTTCTTAGGAATGTGGTTAATGCAAAAATGGAAAAAATCATTCAGTTTATCACAAATGTCATTTTCCGACCATATTGATCCGAAACAAACATATTTATATAAACTTAGTAAACAACCTTGTAAGTCGAAATGAACAAATGTTTTGTTTATGATCACTATTTTCATGTTTTGTTTTATTGTGTATATTTAGGTTTAGAATTTTTTAAAAATATTTTATTAGTTGCCTCACCACAAGATCGTTATGTTCCATTTCATTCAGCTCGAATTGAAGTTTGCAAAGCTGCATTGAAAGATACGGCTTACGGTTTGTTGTTTGATTTAAAACAAAAAAAAAATAATTAAAAATAATTTCGTTACTTTTCTTTTATATTGAGTATTCATTTAGTATAATTATCTACTGATGATAATTATAGGATAGACTTTTTCATAAGTTTCTTTTCTCGTGACAATGATAATTTTATCTGAAAATAATTGTTTTGTATATAGAATTCAATATTTTCAGATTAGATAAAACTTTTGAGTCAAAATTTTCCTTTTACCTTTAACTTCTAGAAATTTTTAGGCTTTAGTCATCTGTCATTCGAATATTATAGGATGTCCTTGATAGTTCCGGAATGTTCTTGCATTCATATATATATATAGAAAGACTGATAGATATAGGTTCTTTTTCTTTTCGTATATATAGTCATTTAAGTTTGTAATTACTATCATTTAAATCATATTTTCAGGCTCAATTTATGTCGAAATGATAAGTAATTTACTTGAACCAATCCTACGTAATCCATCAATAACATTCGTTCGTTATAACGCTTTTCATAACATTCCATCGGGTACTAATAATATTATTGGTCGTGCAGCACATATAGCTATATTGGATTCTGAATTATTTGTTGAAAAACTTATATTGATTAGTGCTGCTAAATATTTTAAATGATAATCAATATATGTATATATTTGACAACATATAGATTTATATGATCTGACTACTAACTTTTTTTTGTTGCTTTTTCTTTTTCTTTTATGTTTCAATCTATTAATCCGGTTTGACATCAATTGTTGGCTCTACCATGTATTTTTTTTGTTTGCTTATTAGCATATTTCAAAGATTCCGATCATTATTAATTACTTTTTATTTTTATTTTTCGTCTTTGCTCAGATATGACAGGTTCATACGAAAAAAAATTAGCTGCAATGAGAGTATATTAATCATGCAACAAAAATTTATCGATTTTTTTTTTTCAGATATATTTATTTATTATTTTAAAATAATCAAATATGCCTTTGGCTAAAGATCTCCTTCATCCATCAATTGAAGTAGAACGTCGAAAACATAAGAAGAAACGACTTGTACAAAGTCCAAATTCGTATTTTATGGATGTTAAATGTCCAGGTTGTTACAAGATTACAACAGGTAAAAAAAACCAAAATAAATTTTCTTTGATATTTACAACTTGATTTTTTCTATTTCTTTAGTTTTCAGCCACGCACAAACCGTAGTTTTATGTGTTGGTTGTAATTATGTACTCTGTTCACCATCGGGTGGTAAAGCTCGTCTTACGGAAGGTTGTTCATTTCGTAAGAAACGTGATACACCATTATCACGCAAAGATGATATTGAACGAAATTAAAAAAAGAACAAACGATATTATATATTCAGGCAATTCAACATATAAAATCATCAGAAACAACAACAACAACAGCAACAAAAAATCGTTTTGAATCTTTTTTTTTTTCATTATTTTTTCTTTGTGTGATATTAAAAGAAAGATATAAGAAAAAATAAAATATCGTTTGAAAATTAAACTTTTTTTTTCACATAAACAATGCTAATATATAAATATATATATATTCTAAGATTCATTATCAATGAACAAATTATTAAATACGATATTTTAAAAAATATATCAGATGAGATTGAAACTGGTCGACCCCATTTTCGGCCCCTCAACTCAATTTACCCGACAAAGCTTTTATACGACGATGCATTGTAGGTGTAATATTATTTCTTGTTTCTTTTTTTCTTTCTTTCTATCGATCGTCTTAATGGAGTCAGTAAAACATCTTATTTTTAATGGCGCGATAGTAGACTATCTTTCTCTATTTCTCTTATTCACTCTCTCGAGATGCATGACAACGACATATTATATGCGTACATGCATTGCATTCATGTTCGTTTTGTTTGACTCGATGTTATTTCCTCTTCGTCATGTTTTTTTTCTTCTTCTTTTTCTTTTTCTTCTCTTTTTCTCTTTTTTTTTTTTCTTTTCTTGATTATAAGCGAGGGAGAGAGAAAGAGCGACATATAAATAGAGGGCGATGATGGAGGGCTCACTGTTGGCTTTTTCCGTCATTTTGTTCGTATGCATGTATAGTGTTGTTGCTGTGAGAAGGAATGTGGTTCGAATCTCGGCTCCATCGTTCTCTTTTCTTTTCTCGGGTAAAGTACATCGTCATCGCATTATTGTCTAATATCGTTGAATGAGAAAAGAAATATAAAACGTACATTCGTTCTTTGCCTCTTTCTTTCTATTCTAGGCGATGACGCTACCAAATGGGGTTCGGTGCACAATGCATCCACCCGTTTACATATATATATATATATATAAATATATATGTAGGGGAGAGGGAGAGTCAAACATATGGTATATGGCTGAAATGAGTGGGCACTTTGGATGAGAGAGGAATGTCGTTGAGTGAAAGAAAAAAACATGTACATCTTGCCAAATAGCTTGAACACTCAAAGACTCATAATGAGTGCTGGTGCACATATCATTCGTCGTCCATCAATATGCTGGTCGAAAGAGATTCAATCGAGTGCTCTACTACTTGCAATATGACATGTTTTTCTAGAACTTATTTAATATGAAATTTTTGTTTTTGCATTTTATTTTCTTATTTATATTGACAAGAGAAAAAAAGAATACAATGAAGCAGGAAAAAACATGAGCACAATTAAGAGAGAGCATGCGCGCGAGAGAGAAAGCATTAATTTATTCAAGTTTTCTTTTTTAATGAGTAGATGTCAGCAGTTATTGGTATTCGATAGTTTTTTTTTTCATCATTGATGAAAATATTAATTTTGAATTATTCATAAAATCATATTTAGATCGCGTTTATTTAAATGGATCAAAGCGTTAAATTGATATAAAAATAGAAATATTCAAATATATTTCAATGAAGATATCATACATATATAGATGTCGTTAGATATATATATATATATTATTTATCAGTTAGTTCGTATTCTGCGATGAACACGTGAACGTATGTGCATGTGTTCTAGATATTCAACAAAAAACAAATGAACATACGAAGAACAACTGTACTGCATGGTGGTTATTCTTCTCATCAACGTCGTTATTATTCAAAATTTCGATTAAAAAAAAAGGTATAATATCTAGAGCTCATACCCAAGATGTCAGAATTTCATTTCTGAATTAAAAAAACAAAACAAAAGAAAATCCAATAAAATATGTTTTCTTTTGCAAAATATTAAATTAAAATTTTCCGTCTAAATCTATATAAGATAAGACAGAAAAATTTAAAAAAAAACAAAAAAGAAAACCAAAACCAACATCCGCTCTACATTTATTATATAAAAGCGGGTATTATTGAAAATTAAATCAGAAAAAATTCTTTTTCACAAAAGAAAAAAAAAGAAAATTCTTTTCTTTTATTTTAAATAGTAAAATATTTTTCAGATTTCTTTTTTCCATATTTTGTCTAATAATCATTTTTAAATAATGGACTTACAGCCAATACGGCAATTTGATTATCTACAACGGACACTTTCAATTTTTTTAACAAATCCATCTGATATGTCTGAACAATTTCAGTTATTAATAGATGAACTCATTAAAGAAAATAAACAAATCAATAAATCACCAAAGGTTTTTTTGTTATTCATATATATTTAATAAGAAAGAAAAGAAAAGAAAATTCATTATTTTTAGTCTTCTCCTGAATCTTCATCATCAGATTCGAAATCTGATTTACAAGCAACATCTAATTCTCCACAACCATTACCTGTAAATTATTATCTATTTGAATAATTTTAATCAAAATTTTTTTTTTCTATTTTCTAATAGAAGAAACGTTCAGCACCGTTAACAACAAATTCAAAACCACCACCACCAAAACGTTTAAAATCTTCGGTAATTAAAGATGATGATGAAATACCAAAAAAGAAAAAACCACAATCAGAAGAAATTATTCATACAAATGATAAAGACGATGATATCTATCAAGATGACGATGATAATGATGAAATCAAATCAAAATCATCGGAATCTCAAATAAATCCATCATCATCTCGTGATATTGATGAATTTGCTATTGAATTAGGTCTTGTTTGCAATAAATGCATGTAAGTCAAAATAATAATATTTATTGTCAATTTTAATTGATAAAATTCTTTTTCTTTTTTTATTAAAGGGTTCTGACAGAAGAAAAAGACAATCGTTTAGTTGACTGTCATGAGTGCCATGCTAAGTATCATCAAAAATGTCATAAACCACCCGTCAGTACTGCTGATATTAGTGATCCTCGATGTTTATGGTACTGTGCAAAATGTCGAAGATCGATTAATAAACGAGTAAGAATAAAAAATATGTTCTTTATCAATCAAACTCAGTGGCAGGCTAGAGTGAGCCTCAGTCTCAGCCCCACCTCAACGAACTCTTGAACCCATTCTAGCGAGATTTTTGAAAAATGTTTTTTTGGTTCTTAAAAATTCTCACTAGAGAGCGCAAAAGTCCATAGAGAAGAGTGAACTCCCTTAACTCTCAATCCTGACTTTGCCATTATTAAAATTATCTAATAAAAAATAATTCTATTTATAGCAACAATCACAATCATCAATAAAAGAAACAAAATTAAATAGTAATCCTTCTTCATCAATTAATAAATCAAAAACTACCGAATCAACATTAACTACGGGAAAAAAAAGTATATCAACTTCTATTACAGATGTAACTACTGGACTTTTTTCATTTAAACCAAAAGTAAAATTGATATTTTTTTATTTTTGTTTATTCAAATATCATTTATTCAAATTTTTTTTGTTTTTGTTTTATAGTCGTCTGATTCAATAATATCTGATACTACAACAATTAGTAATCCATCAATATCTAGTTCAAATTCTTCATTAACTAATGGTATTACAACAAAAAATACTAATGGTTGGGCATCATTAGCAACTGGATTTAAAGAAAAAAAGACAACATCAGAAGTGACTAGTACTACTTCGAATAGTTCAGCAAGTTCAATTCTTGCTGAATTAACAGCATTGACTACAACCAGTAATAGTAATAATACAAAACGTTCACCACCATCACCTAAATCATTAAGTTCAATATCATTAAAACAATCAATAAATGGTAGTAATACAGGATCATTAAAAACAACAAGTTCATTATCACTTTCATCATTGAAATCTAATAAACCATCATCACCACCTGTACTAAAACCTCAAATATCATCATCATCATTAAAATCTACACAAAAATTATTACCAACATCTAAAACTTTACAACGAATTAGTTCACCGACACCATTAGGTCGACAAACATCCGTGGTTAAATCTCCTCCATCAACAAGTACTACAACATTTAATCGTTTAAGTAGTTCTTGTAGTAATTCACCATCATCAACAACTGGTACAAATACTAAAATAGCAACGGGTCTTGATTTTGAAAAACGTTTAAAACAAATGAAAAAACTGGCTGCTGAGAAAAGTTTGACTAAGAAATTTTGAAAATATACCTTTGTCTGTGTCTATATATATATATATGTATGTGTGTATGTTCGAATGTTTAATATGAGTGTAAGTATCTGTGTGTGTACTGCTTTGATCCGTTTTTTTTTTTCGTCGAATCTCTATTCATTTTCTCTTTCTCTTAACTCATCAAACACACAGAGAACAGTAAAAAAAAAGAACTTTGTGTGTGAGAAGATTCATCATATCCATGTTTAGATTAGTATTTCTTCTTTTCAACAAAAGAGAATTCACATCATAAAAAAAAAAAGAAAAAAATACTAGTCAAAAAATTCAATTGTTAGTACGACATTCGTCGATATACTGTTTTTAGATTAAGAAAGCAAAAACAGAACGTTTATAGAAGAGAAATAGCAAATGTTTAGAGTTCATATTAAGAGAATTTGTTGCGATCCTATTGCCATAGAAATAAAGTCAGATAAAATCTATATGTTATTTTTTATTAATTATAAACATTTTACTTCAAGGTAAATAATACTCTCAAAAAAAGAATAACATACTATACCAGTACAAGGACAATTAATGAAGTACAAGGTAAGAAAAGAAACGAACAAGTATTTAGTATAAAGGTATGTATGTTAATAAAAACTTGGAAATAGTGTCAACAGATTAATTATGTTTCGAATCTTTCTTCTATAATTACTTGTTAATATATGTTTAATAGTAATAGTCTGATTACATCTTTTACCTAGAATAATTTATTATGAAAAATGTAGAAAGAAACAAAACTAATCATGTCAAATATAATAAATATTATTTAATTAAGATTTATAAAAGAAAAAAATAGGAAAATAGAATGATGATCAGTTAGTTCTTAAATCTATACTGGTAGCAAGTTATGTTCTTGATTAATATAAGTAATAAGATAATAGATTTTTCTTTGCCTTCTTTCATTGCTTTAATGTATTAGTATTGCTTTTTTTTAAGTATTTTCTCTTTGGTTAATTTTTAATGGTGTTATAATCACTGTTATCTTAGGTATAATTCACATATTCATTTTTGTTTAAATTGTTTTAGTCGAAATAAGACTTTATCACAAATACACATACAATTGTCAATATGTCGATTCAACAATGATTGATCGATTAATATTGGTATCTTGAAAAAAAAAAACCGACAATAATTTCTTATTGTTCATCAACAAAAGTAACTATTCTTCTAGTCTAATTTTCAATTAATAGTTTATAATGCTTTTCTAGAAAATTATAAAACAAACAATGATAGAAAAAAAATGATGAAACTTCCATGAACAATACTATTGATGAAGAAGAAATTATTCTTTACACTTGAAATATCTGTTTATTTCGTAAACAGATAATTGAGATTAGTAAATAATTCAAGTTGACAATATCTATTTGCCATCTACATGTTTCCATAGGATATTCAGATTAACGACAAAAATTAAAAGAAAAGATGCAAATGATGGAATAAATCTCTTACGGCTGAAAATGATAGTGAGCAAACATAATATTATTTCTCTTCTAGTTCAAAAAGCATTTAATATTTTGAATAACAGCGAACTTTTTTAACACATTGGAAAAAATCATTGATAGAGAAATTGTTTATAGAACACAGAACGAAACAGATATCAATCACTAGATATCGAAGTAGCTTTTATTTAACTGTTAATTCAACAATCAAACAGCTAAAGCTTCTTCAGTGATAAGTTATGCTATTTCTAGCGATTTACCATAATGTCGAGAGGAAAGAATATGGAAACAGAATAATATAGAAGTGAAAAATACCAAAATGCAAAAGTTTCGAGAGCTTCTTCGACGAACAAGACACATCTTTTATGTTTTTGTGTAATGGTGATGGTGTAAAGGAGATCATACGCAAAACAACGGGCAACTAAAAGAAAACATTTATACAAATGTTTTGGTTTTCATTCAGCGACCTGATATGACAAAGCATCTAAGAATTCCATTGGATCTTGTAAATCATGAGAATAATATCGTTCATTGAGATAATCTATACGATATTGAATTGCAATTGCTTTGACTAACATCATTCTTGCACCAATAAAACAATATACTAAAGCTGTTTACAGTCTATATTTATCAACGAAATGATTTTATGTCGATACTTTTCTTTTTTGACACTGCTACTTTCCTAAATTTATTCCTTAACTGTTTTTCTCTTTAATATTCCTACGACACTATATTCGAGTATAAAACGAATAAATTATGATAATAAATATGTTTGATTTCGAAGTACATTTGATTAAATCAATCTAGAAAAAAACAAAAGACTTCTTTAGAAATGAACAGTTTTATTTTTTAATATCAATACACGGATGATCGATTAAAAAAAAATGAACGGAATATCCGAAATGATAACATATTCACAATGTAATACAAAATCATGTCACAGGAATCGTTAAAAATAAAATATAATCTTGTTCAATACCATAAATAATGATCAACATTCTTGGTAAATAGTCAAATAAACATGCTGATCTTGATTTTCTTCCTAAATCTCTTAAAAACTATTTCCTGATTAGACCTATTGTTTGCCCCATATACGATAGTTTTCAAAGTATCAAATAAGAATCTCCATTAAGAGTAGTGGAAAATATGTTCACTACTGTGATCATCACTATTTTGTAACAGCTCAGCTCTTATAATCGTTAACAAACATAAAACAAGTTTGGCTTTAACAAGCATAAATCCGTCTACGTTTTTTATCAACTCGAAATTTTTCATGAGTCATACAGTTGAATATATTTTTCGTGACTGGAAACATTTTCGAAAGATGATTCAAAAATCATCAGAAAAGAAGAATTCCTATTTCCAAGAATACTTTTTTTTGCCTTTACAACCAGACAAATTTTCAGACTGACCAAATATTGAAATCGAAAGACGCATAGGGAAACAATAGGATCATTAGATATGATTCGCCAAACCATCTTATTTGCATGCAGATGATTTGTTCATCATAAGAAAGCTGAATTGAGTTAAGGCAACAAAGCACTTACCCTACATTGAGTGTATAAATCATTCTACCAAGAACTCTGTGGTCACATCAAACTTACTCCTCCACGAGAAAAATCTTTCACAAATATTCGTGCTGACATCAAATCACCAAATGTCATTACATCATTGAAGAATTATAGGGGGACTGCATAAAATAGCGAATAAATCTCATATTAGAACAATTTCACACATTTAGTCGATGAACAAGGATTGATGCAATGATATGGTAGTCTTAATGTAAGTTTTACTCAAATGACTAAATTATTCAAGCTCAGATGAGATCTTTTTCAGTTTATCGCAATAGTTATATGTATACGTCAACAAAATCTATCTATCACTAGGACTCTATGATGAACGAGTCTCATAAAATGAGAAATTACTCTCTGATCACGTAGAAGCTTTTTCATTTGAATACTATGTCGATCTTACACATCTATCATCAAGAAGATAAATATACGCGAAATTGTGCAATAGTACTCTTTAATCATCTCGCAATACTTTATTGAACGGTATTGAACTGACCAAAAACGATCGAAATGATATGGAGACATGGTTGAATAATTATAATATGGTCAAGTTAAGTATAGATAAAAACAGCAGAAAATGATTTGTCACGCTTCACCTTGTTATGAGTAACCAGGTAGGCTACGTGCACTTTCATTCTACACATATTTATGTCAATCGATAAGCTTTTTAATGCTCTACAACGTATCTAAAATTCATTCTGGATCCTTACACTGTGAGATACCGATAGGATCAACAAGGACGAAATAGTATGTGGAGACCAATGAAAAAATTTGTGATATTTTTTTATATTTCGATAAATATTTTGTAAGTTAACGATTACAAATATAAATTTCGTTGATGAGCAATTTTGTAGAGTTAATGACATACTATATTTTGATATAAGGCAGAAATAGTTTTGATAAAGTTTTTGATTTCAAATGTTCGACGAAAGAAAAAAACAATTTTGTTATGCAAAAAAAAATTCGTTTTTACAAACATCGAATATCGACGAAAAATGAAAAGTTAGTTTCAGGTCTCATCCACAGACATCATTCGAAATATATGAAATTTTGTTCTTCGTATATCGAACTTTCAGTATCTTATTCGTATGAAGGTCTATATGGAGTATTTGCTAATACATGCTTCATACGCAAAAAAAAAGTGGATCAAATAATTGTCTCAAAATTATGGAAGAACTTTCGAGAAGTAATATTCATATGCTTCCTATCTATTGCTTGAATTTTTATACGGATATATGTGAATTAGACGACATCCTTTTTTTTAAATATACATGATGGTATCAACTTGATCATAGTTTATCTCCGATCTTTTCACAATTTTGAATCTTCTTCACAGATGCTTGGAATAGAACAAATAAGAATGATTTTTCTAAATCAATTTGTAAGAACATCAATGATTAATAACATCTAGATGATTCGAGCTATTAAATATTTCTTTAATAACTTTTCTTTTTATACTAGCATAATACAAACCAATTGACAAAAGAGTGACATTGAATATTCAGTGTTGGTTGTATCATGTATTCAATTTGCTCTCAATATCATTTCATCTGTTATCTTTAATATGCATAGGAAGTTACGTTATCATTGTATCTTATCTGCATTCATCTTCATACATTCGTTACTTTTGGTTTTAGAAAGGTCAATATATATTAAAAAACGCATCAAAAGTAACAAAAAAAAAATCTTAGATTGGGAAGAATATTTCATTACTAATTTGTATTTTATTATTGAAAAATTTCTCATGATAATCATCAAACTATTTTAAATTCTAAAACTCAACTTTATATCTGTGACGTTTTTAATTTTGTAAAATCCGAATAGCAATTTTTCATCTCGAATGCAGTCAATTATTCATTCCCATTAAAATAGATACTATGACGTAATAATTTTTAATCTATTATGGTCTCCTATATATTTGTCTCGAACAAAATATATCAAAAACAAAAATTACAATGCAAATGAAAACAAAATTTAA